GTAGATAAAGTGTACGGTGGTCTGGCATGTTCACGCGGGAATATTTCAAAAAAGAAATTTTTTCCTCAATTTATTATTGTTTACTAAGTGTCTTATATTTATGTCGGTCATGACAATTACTTTTTTCTAATTGCAATAAAAATGGAAGATATTTATTCATTTTTTTTTTTTGAAATTGTATAATTGTATGTTAACGACAATTTCAAAGTAATCGACTAGGAAGAGCGCCACCTAGTAGATCAGATATAAATCTAAATATAAAGAAAATTAAATGGCGTTGGAAGCTTTTGTATCCATTTTTTCAAGATGGCTTCCACTCTCCACTCGTAAATACTAAATTGTCATTGAACCACACCCAAATTTTAATTGATCCGAAAACTCAAGTCGACGTGAGTGCGTTTTTCTTCTACTGTGCTATATTAACATGATTGAATATAAAAAATGATTTATTTAAAAAATATTAATGCTTTTCTCGAATATTTTACGAATATGAATTTATTTTGTTGATTTAGTTAACTTTTTAGGAAATTGTTTGGTATAAAATTATAAACACGAAGCAAAAAATTGTATCTGGATAATTTTACACGTATACATATGCACAGTAGAATTCTATTTATAAAACATTGAATTTTATTTGGTAATGAAAGCCATTCAACAACAAATTGCGGTGGTCCAAGCTATATAAGGTAAATTATTAAAATTAATTTTGCTTCATTGAAGTGAAGAAGATAAAAAAAATTAATCAGCTATCAATAGTACAGCCAACCAATGAGAAACGTATAATAGTGAATTCCAAATGACTCACTTGTCCAACTCGTGCAAATTGTAAATGCGTTTTTATATATTTCAGAAAGAGAGGTTATAGGTTTTTAGATATAATTATTATAGCAAATTGCTTTTACATATAATAATGAATATTCCATATTATGCTATACCAATGTATACGTAAAAGATGAAAATAGTAATAAATAGTATGGGTATAGCTACTATAGCTGCACGGCACCTAATCCACCGTAGAAGTGAGTTCTTTTAATTGAGTATTACATACATGGGCTCGATCGGAAAAATAAGAGAGATCTTCTGCCATTGATATTATTGGATCTATTTGGCTTTCAAAAGACATTTTCTTCTTTGCTACAATGATGAATGCTCGCTCGTTTGCATATTTATAACAATTTAATGTGTCTTTTCTAGGAATACATTTTTTATTGTTTTTAAGAATATATATTGCTGATTATTCGACAAATATGATACTTTTAAGATCAACATATGAAGATCTCCCATCATTCTATCTTTGCAAACCAATGGGTAAGTTAAGAATTTGTTGAGAACGAGTATATGTAGTTTTGATTTCATTTTATGCAAGCATATGTCGAAATTCAAATACAATATGAGAGATAGATTGTTTGGATGTATAGTCGAATGTCCGCACATCTAAAAGTCGAAACTTGGGACTAGGTTTAAATAATTGTACCAAAAATGTACTTAATTGTACCGCAATTTATTTTCAATTGTACCTTACTCGTTTGGATAATATTTGAGGTTCAAATTTCTGGGCACTTTAGAAAGTTATTTTCTATCGAAAAAAATAAGGCATACAAAATTTTAAGAAATTCCGATTATAAACAAAAAAATTTCATTTTCACAAAATTGACACATTTTTCAAAAGAAAAAAGCCCGAAATGTGGGCTCCAAATATTATCCAAACGAGTAAGGTATATACAATTAAAAATAAATTGCGGTACAATTAAGTACATTTTTGGTACAATTATTTAAACCTAGTCCCAAGTTTCGACTTTCACATGTGCAGACATTCGACTATACATCCGATTGTTTGAAACAAAAGTATACTCTTCAGTGAAGAGTCTTCACACACACACACACACACAAAACATCAAAAATTTGGCAACGTAACTATTAGTATTTTCGTACAATCGCTATTTTCAGATCCGTTTTTCTGCACCGACACAGTTGACACTTTATATTTCGCGCGATGAGGTTAAAGCATATTTTTATTGATCAATCGGTTTGACGTATAGAATGACAACTGCGCTGTTGTAGTCGCGTGCGTCTATGTAGAAACACAGATATGAATAAAGTGACGATTGTATGAAAATACCAATAGTTATTTTGACAGCTGTTAGTAAATTCGCAATATACCAAACATTTTAAACAATTCTACCAATAATATGTTTTGTTAATGAGAAAAACAAATTTTGTATTTAGAAAATCAACGAAAGAACGAATTTAATGGTTTCGATGAAAATGAGGTACCCTTGCATATAACATTATGGAAAATAAACATCACCAAATACAACACGAATCCAGGAGCTATAGCGGAACTGGAAAATACAATCAAAGACTATGTTCTTCATCTGAAAAAATTGAACCATCCACACATCGTTAGCTTTGAGAGCGTAATTTTTGATATGATTGACGGCTACTTGGATGTCTATTTGGCACGAAAATCTATAAATGGTATATCCTTTAAAGTGATGCAAAAATTTGGTTGGCCAAATCAAAATGTTACACAACTTGCACGGACATTATTACAAGCATTGTTCTATCTGCATTCCAATGATTTTATACATGGTAATATAAACGAGACGTCGATTTTCATCGATGAAAATGGTAAATGGAAAGTAGCCGATTTCTGTATCACTCCATATTTGAATCATTTAACTGCACATGAGGAAACAGACTACATTGAACCAAATAAAATGTCAGATTGCATACAAATGGGTGAGTTGATTGAATCACTGGGAGCCACTACGTTTGATGCAGACGATTTTGTAAGACATTGCAAATCAAATGCTAGCATGCAAGACCTCTTCGAACGTCCACTTATTAAGAGTACCAGTAAATTCATAAACAGTTTCATTGATGTAATAAAGTTGGGTTCTGGTACTTTTGGAGAAGTGCTACATGTTTTTGAAACCAACGTAGAAAGACATTCGGCGATTAAGCGTATTAAAATCTGCGACAAAAGCTCAGCAGATGGCAGGTTTACTTTTGAAGAAGCTTTGCGAGAAGCTAAAACACATTCAATGTTATCACATAAAAACATTGTTCAATTTTTCACCAATTGGAAGGAAACAATGAATGAATCGGATACTTCTCCCATCGAATATATGGAAGTTGATGATTTGGAATCTCCATGTAGACACCCAGTGTACCGGTAAGCAATTATTATTTTATATTTTTTATCACTATTATTAAAAAATTTAACTAACTCAGTGGCGATATATTGAAGTGCATTAATATTGTCTAATATAAAAAAAATGTTATTGGATTTTCTTTTGAACAAAGTTGCCTGATTTTATAATTTTATTATTATTATTATAGCAAATGCGAGAAGAAAATCCAGGTCATGTACATTCAAATGGAATTATGTCATCAGGATTTAAGGTAATAAAATAGTGACAAATTGATCTTTTCATTTTGTTACTCATCAAAATTGCACTTTAAATTCATTGGAAAATAATAAGTAATAAGCACACTCGTACTTTATTTATTAAGTTATTAAACTAACGGGATTAAAAAATTTGGTCGATTCTATTAAAATTTAAAATAACAAAATAAAAATGTTAACATTCTTTTAAATTCCACTTTCAAATTTAAAATAACCCAAAGTTCTCTTACCTTATGAATTCCATAAAGCCAGCAAATATTGACACACAATACCGGGCCTGAAAATTTTAACGCCAAAATTTCGCTTTTAATAATTTAATAAAAATAATTTCACTTGATGTTTATGGAACAACCAATAACAATCGAAATAAGGAACAAATAGGTGTACATGGTTAATTGCTCCATTGTCAATTTATATATTCCGCTATTTTATTTATTAATGAATGGATCAAATGCTCAACTCCTAATAAGCGTCAAGCTCCAAAACGAATGAACGTGATGCAATTGAATGAAAATATACAATGCATATACCTTCAATTATTTTCACCGTAATAATGAAATTTTATCGCAAAAATGATAAGAAACAGGGAGCGGTTGCTGTGTGAGCGAGTATGCGACAAATGAATCCTATAGAATAAAAACAGCACATGTAGCAGCAAAGGCCATACGTATGCATATTTGTTTGTATTGTACGTCTTCCACTGACAAGTGACCAGTGAACATGTAGAACTATTGTTGTAAGAATACTCAGACATTATACTTGATAGGAAAACAAAAACTATAAGAAAATATTTATAAAAATAAAATTTTCTGAGAAAAATCGTAACATCATTGACGCACACAAGTATTGTATAGTAATGATTCAATTTTCATATCAATTGTGAATTAAAGTAAGCTCAACTTTTCATTCTTTAGAGATTCGACTCAAAAAATAATTTAAAAAAATATAAATAGTTTGTTTATGTCAGTGACGAATACCTTTATTATGCATGACGTTACATCACAACATGTTTCATATATAAAACATGCAACATTTTGCATAAATAACACCAAAAATGTGCAGAATTTTATAATAGTAGTAATAGATAGTTTATGTAACATCGCAATGTGTAACGTCATTAATGTTACGGTGAACAAACATACAAAATTCAATTTTATATATAAAAATTATACTTTTTAACATTTTTTTATCATTGAAATCTTTTTCCACAGAAAAGCAATAAATGAAGGACTCAGTAATGACATGACACGTATAGGAAGATATTTGTTTGGAATCACGGATGGTTTAAAATATATTCACTCAAAAAAATTGATCCATCACGATCTAAAGCCTGAAAATATCTTCCTAACCAAAGATGACGTGATTAAGATAGGCGATTTTGGACTAGCCACTCCCCGCCTTTCAAGGTCCACAGAAAGATGTGGAACACCAATTTACATGGCCCCAGAAATCGGTGTGATGCCATTAAGACCACGAGCAGATATGTATTCATTGGGAATCATTTTATTTGAAATGTGCTACGCAATGCAGACATACAATAGGCTAGCAACGTTGAATAAAATACGTGAAAAAGGAGCACCAATCGAAGCATTCATAAATATATCGTCCGAATTTTATGAGGTTTGCAAACAAAATCAACTATTATTAAACTTTTCTAACCAAACTAATCACACTTAATTTAGGTTATAAAAAATCTTTTGAACCATGAAGTCGAAAAACGTTACATGGCCATTAAAATTTTGGAAAAATTTCCCCATTATAGACGTTAATTGGAAGTTACTTCAAAGAGGTGCACACCTTTATAATTTCATAAATTGACAATTTTGTCGAAATTTGTATTGCGTACGTTCAATATATGAAAGTTTAATTGTTTTGTTTGTAGCTCTTAATATCAAGATTTAAAATGACTGCGATACAATAAAGGAATGGCATACAATGTCATATAAAAATATAGTTGAAAACTTTCAAAATTAATAAAATAATTTTATAACGCATTGACAAAGACATGAATTCTTTATTTGAATTTTGTTCTACTCCAGAGGTCACTGTACTGAAATCTATTCATTTAACCAAGTGACATTTGTTGACAGTTCTTACCTATATTTTTTGTTATTGAGTTCATTGCTATACTAGGTGAATAAAACCAACTGAAATTGGAATAATGTGTGAAAATGAAATTGAAATCGAAAATTACGATAAGTACAAAGAACCTTCATTTCAATTTGTTGCCAAAATCGAAGAGTATCATATCAATAACCTTTCATATAACGATTTCTTCGATCGATTCATGGTGAAAAATATACCGGTGCTGATCAATGGAATTGCCGATCGATGGGAATGCCAGAATTGGATTGACTCCAGCCACTTAGTAAACATTGAATATTTAAGACAAAAAATTGACAAAACGCAAAATGTACCAATCGCCAACTGTGGAAAAGTGTATTATAATTCACATGAAAAGTCGGAGATGCAATTTGGTGCATTCGTTGATTATTGGACAAATAAAATGCAACAGAATGAATGTGATTCGACAAACTTACTGTATTTAAAAGATTGGCATTTGCGTCGCAGCCAGCCAGATTATCAATTTTATACGACGCCTATTTATTTTGCTTCCGATTGGTTGAACGAATACTGCGTGGAGAAGAGAATTGACGACTATCGCTTTGTTTACATGGGGCCGAAGGGAACATGGTATATAAAAAATATTTATAGATGAATTTTCGGTTCTCATTAATGGATATTCTTTTTTATTGCAGGACTCCGTTTCACGCCGATGTATTCTCATCGTTTAGTTGGTCTACTAACATAGTTGGAACTAAGAAATGGATCTTCCTCCCACCACAAGAAGAAGATAAATTAAGAGACAACCTTGGCAATTTACCGTTTGACATTGACGAGGAAAAATATCAAAATCTAATTCATGAAAAAAACGTACGTTCATTCGAAGTAATACAACGTGCTGGCCAAACTGTTTTCGTACCCAGTGGCTGGCACCATCAAGTATGGAATTTAGAAGATACAATTTCAGTCAATCACAATTGGTTCAATGGCTGTAATATTCACTGCATTTGGAATGCGATTTATGCCAAATACAAAGATGTTTTGCGAGAAATCGATGATTGCAAAGATATGGACGGCTTTGACGAGCATTGTCAACTAATGCTGAAATCCGATTTTGGTCTTGATTTTCAAATGTTTCTCGACATTTTGGAATGTGTGGCGACAAATCGATTGAAAATCCTGCAAATGAGCTGTGAATTGATGTTAAATGAAAGTAAACTTGGCCGAAAGCATTCTATTTACGATTTAATGTCCATTCGTCGAGTTCTGGAGGATTTTTATACAAAGTGTATCTTAGAAAATTTACAAAAATCTAGTCAAGCTTTAATTTTAGAAATTAATCAAGTCCTACGATAGAAGACTTCCAATTAAGATTAATTCCAATAAAAAAAATATATTTGAATCGCTGTGCAAATAAAAATGATCAAAGAAATAAAACTCATCCAATAAATATAAACAAGAAAATCTAAACATCAGCATATTTACAAATTTCGTCAAATTGTTTTATATAGTCGTGTGAGTCACGTTTCAAACTAAGAACAAGTGCGATGTGTTTATAATTATAAAAAAAACTTTTTATTATGTCTGCCAATATGCATGAAGTCGATATTCTTTTATTTACACAAGCAAATTCCATGAAATTTGCCTCTTAGTGTTTGTAATTGCGTTGCCATTTTGAAATTTGTTTAGTCTGTCATGTCTCCAGTTGATATTTTATTCTCACTTTTCTTCTCCTCTGTTCTTTTATTCAATTCATATTTTTCAAAAGGCTCATATTGTGCATTGAGCAGGCAATGTGTTAACATCGTTTTGTGGTTTTATTCTTTGAAAAGGGTAATCTTAATTTCGAAACAAAGCTGACATTCATTTGAACACATCGAACATACTCAAAGAAATTATTTAATTTTGCCAAAATGTCTTCTCGCAAGGAAGATTTACAAAGGCAACTACGTGAAACAAGCGCAGTGCTTCAAGAACTGGTACTAAAAAAATAAATTTTCATTGGAATGTTTATCCTTATCAATACATTCATATTCAAGGCACTACAGTTATTCCGTGGAGGTCAAGCACCTGGTGATGAAGGTTTATATTTTCATTATTATTCTCGGGAAGCCAATGAAATAAGACGCAAGTAAGTCTCATGTCTCTATCACATTAATTCATCAATTTCAATTATTTTAATCGATTTTACATACCAATTTTCGCAGAAGAGATGTGGTGCTTCGAAAATTCATTTTTCTCAAAAACGCGCTGGACGAAATTGAATCGAAAGAAGAAAAATGAAATAATTTTTTTGCAAATACTAAACATTTCTGACTCAATCAATTCAATGGGATGTTTTTTTCCAACCTAAGTAGTCTCCAATCGTTTTTTCAAAAATTTAAATTCATTCAAAATTAAAATAACTTTCTTGTATACTGATAAAATTGATTTTAATAAATCCAATTCAACTTATAAGCAAAGAATAAACAACATTTTTGTATAATTGGTGAACCCTCTTAAAATATAAAAAAACCATCACAACGTATGTAAAATTGAGTTGAAAAAAAAAACTCAAAATGCTAAAGCTTTGAATTGTTTGGTAAAACCAGAGCACCTTCTGTATGATATTTCCTAATATCGTCCGTGCTTAATCCAGCATCTTTAAATATTTCGTCCAATTGTTTAATATAGTCTTCCGAATCACATTTTGAACTTGAAACAGCTGGTGTGCGTGATAGTAATGGAGCTGGTGTTGGTGTAACAACACTTCCATCCGTAAGTTCTTTTGGTACAAATGATTGTCGAGCAATATTGTGTGGGTGCTGATCAGCATTCTGCCAATCAAGCACTGGAAAAACGCACGCATCAACATTCTCAAATAATTTGCTCCATTCGTTTTGTGTTTTTGTTTTGAAAATTCGCTGAATTTCATCTCTGCAACGGTCTGTGTTTGAATCAAATTGATCAAAATCCAGTTTTAAGATGCGCATAAATTCGCTATAAAATTGTGGTTCCAATGCACCGACCGACATATATTTTCCGTCACTCGTTTCGTATGTGCCATAGTAAAAGGCACCACCGTCCAGAATATTTTTTCCTCTTCCTGCACTCCAAATGGGTAATTCACGGGAACGTGTCAACCAACTGGCAACATATGCTGCACCTTCTGTCATTGAACAGTCGACTATTTGTCCCTTTCCAGAATGATGACGCTCCAAAAGTGCAGCCAATATCCCAAATGCACATAATAAACCCCCGCCAGCAAAATCAGCTGAAAATTTCAATTTAAAATTTACGTCAAAATCTCCTCGATCAAATTAAAATCAAACCATTTTTTTACATGAAAATTGCAAATACCTAATAAATTAATTGGTGCCGTTGGTGGCTCATTTGACTTTCCCAACATTGATAAGACTCCAGACATTGCAACATAATTTATGTCATGGCCAGCTCGTTTTGCTAATGGTCCCGTTTGTCCAAATCCAGTCAGCCGAGCGTAAATCAATCGAGGATTTTCTTTCAGTAAAATATCCGGACCAAGATTCAGTTTTTCCATTACTCCGGGTCTATATGGTTCAATAAGTACATCGGATGTTTTACTTAATGCACGCACAAGTTCTTGGCCTTTTTCATTCTTTATGTCAATTGCAATCGTTCGTTTACCTTTGCCCAAACAATCAATTGGATTTTCAATTATTCGATCCACTCTTGTAACTATTGCACCAAAATCGGACAATATCATTCCTAATAAGAAAAAAAAATAATATAAAAAATATACGGCAAGTTTGAACACTGAAAATATCATACTTACCACAATATGGGCCAGGTGCCAATCCAGCAAATTCTAATACTTTGATACCTTTCAATGCCATTTTTGGCCGAAATAAATCATATTTTATCAAAACCAACAAAAATTAAAATTATTTTCACCATGATAGGCAAATATGTAAATAAACACAGTGAAACGACCTGTCAAATTCCAAACGTCATTGTCACATATCAATGACGTTTTGTGTCTATATAGTTTTGCTCACAAAACAAAGAAAATCTGCTTGTTTTTATTTATTCTAATCGAAAAATCATGTCACGTCCACCGATGATGCAACCGGATTCTGATAGCGAAGATGAAGTGCTACCGCCGGGATTTGAAGAACGAACAGATGAGGATGGAAATGTATTTTATTTGAAGTAAGAATCTTACACTCTATTAGAGTGACTCTAAAGTGCTTTGATATGTTTATCAAATTTCATGCATATATTTTTTCAGTCATCAGGAAAAGAAAACCCAATGGATACACCCGAGAACAGGAAAAGCGAAGAAAATTCAAGGCGAATTGCCATTTGGATGGGAAAAAGAAGTATTATATACAGTATTTTATGACAATTTTTTTTATTATTAATCGACTTAACAATCGAATTAACAATTTTCGTGTAGAGAGAAGAAAGTACCGGTCAAACAATTTACATCGATCGCAAAAATAATCGAAGAACATATATTGATCCACGTTTAGCATTTGCGGTAGAAAATACTCCAAAAAATGTCAGTGACATTCGGCAACGATTCGATGCGAATTCGACGGCGTTTCAAGTATTACACGGTCAAGACTTGAACGGAAAGGTGGCTGTTATAACCGGCGCTAACACAGGAATTGGATTCGAAACAGCCAGATCGTTGGCATTTTTTGGATGTCAAGTTCTTTTCGCATGTCGATCACAGAGCAAAACCGAAGAAGCTATCGAAAAAATTCGCAATGAACGTGATTCTGGTGGTCGATGTTCTTTTATTCCATGTGATTTAGGGTCTATGCGATCAGTTAAACAGGCTGCTGAACTAATAAAAAAGGAAGTGAATCATATTGATATGTTGATTTTGAATGCAGCTGTATTTGCTTTACCGTACACACAAACCGAAGATCAATTAGAAACAACATTCCAAGTTTGTCATTTGGCACATTTTTATCTGTGTAAACTTCTGGAAGATTGTCTGGACCAAAACTCAAGAGTTGTGGTTGTGTCGTCCGAATCACATCGGTAAATTCTAAGGAATTCAATATTTAACAAATTCGTTTTCATCAACGAAAGTATTATTTCAGATTCAGCTGGCTCCCCCCGTCTGATTTGAGCGAACAAATCCTATCACCACCAGCAAAGAATTATTACAGCATGATTGCATACAACAACGCCAAGCTGTGTAATGTCCTTTTTGCACGAGGACTCGCGAAGGTATTAGATCAATTGCTCAGTTTTCTTTGTGATTTAACACTTTGCAACAGAGTAATGTCCCATTTCTATTTCCAGAAATTGTGCGAAAAAGGAGTTTGTGTGAATGCTTTGCATCCGGGTAATATGGTCTCTTCGTCAATATCACGAAATTGGTGGTTTTATCGATTTCTGTTTGCATTCGTGCGACCATTCACAAAATCATTGGTATGACTTCATATTGCATTTGTTGATATTTATTTATATTTAAAATTTACCATCTCATATTAGCAACAAGCTGCAAGTACCACTATTTACGTTGCAACGGCGAACGAGTTATGTGGAGTCAGCGGACAGTATTTTAATAATTGTTTCTTCTGTGAGCCCAGTCAATTGTCACGAAACAACGAAATGGTCGATAATTTATGGGAGACAAGCGAACAAATTCTTGATCGAATTTTACAAGAGAAAGGCTTAAAATAACATAATCACCTTCTTATTTTGTATTCTCAAAGAATTTTCACATTTTTCTAACAATAAATGTACATTTATGGCTTTATTCAAATTAGAAACATGCTTTGTACTATCTTAATGCTTTGTATTTGTCTAAAAATCTGTACAGCGTCCTTTACGCTCCCAATCGCCATATCTTGTTGGTTCAGGACCTCGGGGACCACCGACTTCTCCAGTATGTGGATTCACATCGTTAGGCCATGCTTCGAGTGGTTCTTTTTCTTGATATGGATGCCTTCCTTCGCCTTGATCTGCAAGATAAGATCGTATTTAATGCGATAAAATACAATTATACAAAATATGAACCCGACCTAATCTTCCAATTGGTGTCTTTTCACGCAATTTCTTTTGAAATTCTTCTACGCGCGGGCTGATTGGTCGTTTATTGTCTGCATTGTTGGACGGTGGTGGTGGTGGCGCCGTTGAGTCAACATTGTCATTCGAATGGAATCGTATATTACCTAACAAATGAAATTCCATCATATTATATATATGAAAAAAAAAATCATTATAATTATAAACTTGTTTACACTCACTTAAATTGAATGACGGTAGAAATCGTCGTAGAATAAGAGACATTGTATAATTTCTATATACTGTGCTGAAAGTGATTATAATCAAATGCTTTAATCTGAAAAATAATAATAAACTCGATTGTGTCAAAGTCTTTCTCTTTCGTGACATATACATATGCGTCGAATTGCGTTGATTGTTAGTGTGAGTGTGAACCATGCATAATGGCAGTAAGACGGACTACTGGTTAAGTATATAACCGTTGTACAATCTACATTCTACACACATACACACGTGCCGAAGAGTGCTCATTATATTGTTGTATGTATATATGGAGTGGTATGATGAGTACTAAGTAGGCTTATTTCGTTTGCACAAATACAAGCGCTTGTTGTGTGCATGTAAGTTCATGTTGAAACCATTTCTTCTTTCGTTTTGGCACACAGTGAAGTCGTATATTTGAGTGATTTCATTAAGTGCGCGTTACGTGACGAACGTATTACATGGGTTTTTTTCTATGCTATTGTATGTTAAATTTAATTGATTCAGCCGAGAGTTAAATTTTACGATAAATTCGAAATTGTTTTGTGAACATTTATATTTGGTTTTTTTTGTATGAAAAGATCTTTCAATATAGTTCGATTGTATATTAAATAGTGTAAGGTGAACCTTTATATTTTCTTTGTGGTGAAATTTTCCGTAACGTAGCACTCACATAGGAAAAATTCCAAGAAGAAATCGTTTGAAATTTGCGTGCATTCAATGTGTAAATTATTTGCCAAAACAAAAAGAAAATTACGAGTGAAGCGAAATGCCGTCAATAGGAGTTAATTTACGTGTGACTGGCCATTGTAGCCAAGGTGGACGAAAATACATGGAAGACTTTTTTTCTGTGGCTTACCAACAGGGTTTGGCTGATGAACGTGACTTTGAATACGCCTTTATTGGAATCTATGATGGTTTGTATCAAACACAATAACAACACGAGCATTACAAATATCGCATTTTACAAGCTCAATAATGCTTTTATCGTATGACATTTTCGATAACATTTACAGGTCACGGTGGTGCTGAGGCAGCTACTTTCGCCAAAGAGCATTTAATCAATATGATTGTCAATCAAAAAGCCTTTTGGTCCGACGATGATCGTGAAGTGTTGCGTGCAATTCGTGAAGGATATATCAACACACATTATCAAATGTGGAAAGAACAAGGTATGTATTTTTCATTAAAAAAAACACAGAAAAAAAGTGAATGTATTGACGATTGTTATTCAAGTATGAAATGTTTTCGCTCGTATTGTGACGAAACAATAATGGTTGTCAAACCACGAATGGCGTCATACGACGTTACATTTGACCCAGAAAATCTACTTTTTCAACATTTTTGCCACGAAATTTCATTAAAAAACAGTGAAACATCATCATATTCAATATAATTGGATATTTTTTCAATGCTTATGGCAGTAAACATATTAAATTTGTACGGGAAATTGTATTTTTCCGCTCATTTCATTCGTATTTGATGCCAATGTCGTTGTTGTTGTAAAACCAAATTAAAAATGGCGTCTATATACTTTTCACTGAGATTGCAATGCGTCACACGCGATTAACGCACAGCAACGTGACAATTGACGATGCGTCGTCTCCTTGAAAAATGTAAATAAACAAATGCACGAGACGACTTTATTTATAACGCATCATTTATTTTGCTCATATTCTAATATATCCATAATAAAAACAGATGAGTGTTAACATTTGACATGTCTCAATGCTTACGCCGAATAAAAGAAAACAAACAAAAATTGCACTACACAATCTTCTAACTATCGATTTCCCGCCAAAACCGTATACACGCCAATGTTCGTGGTTTTTATTCGATTTTCATCGGAATTATTGAGCATACCATTATGAATTTTAAAATGTTATCTCATGTGCTTGTTTTAAAAATAATTTTGAAAAAATAATCCAATTTTTTTTTTCTCTAAAAATACTGATGGTCTTAAATGATGTGTTTTTTTTTTGTATAGAAAAATGGCCAAAAACAGCATCTGGATTACCAAGCACAGCCGGAACAACAGCAAGTGTGGCTTTTATTCGTCACGGTAAAATCTACATTGGTCATGTTGGAGATTCAGGCATTGTGCTCGGCTACCAAGAAGATGGCGAAAAACAATGGCGTGCAAAGGCCTTAACTCAAGATCATAAACCAGAATCGGTTGCAGAGCAAACACGCATCATAAATTCAGGCGGTAAAGTTGTAAGTAAGGCTGGTGTACCGCGTGTGGTGTGGAATCGACCACGTATAGGGCATAAAGGTCCAGTACGTCGAAGCACACCAATCGATGAAATTCCTTTTTTGGCGGTTGCACGAAGTTTAGGCGATTTATGGAGCTATAATTCTGCTTTAAATGAATTTGTTGTGAGTCCTGAACCTGATGTTCGAGTCATCAAAATCGATCCAAAGCGATTCAAGTAAGCTAAAGAACACTCACGAATCAAAGAAAGGACAACATTTTAAAATATTTTTTCTTATTCTTCTGTATTAGATGCCTTGTTTTTGGAACGGATGGATTATGGAATGTTGTATCTCCACAAGGAGCTGTTGACAACGTTCGACTCTCCGATCAAATAAATGAGCATAGCGCATGTAATAATGAGTCCCGTGAATGGATAAATCCAAGTAAAAATCTCGTGGACAAAGCGCTTGAACGATGGAGTACCAAGAAAATGAGAGCAGATAACACGTCAGTCGTTATATTAATGTTCGATCCACCTGGTCCACCGAAACGCGACATTTTGAAATCATCCTCGTCACGATCACATCTTTTGGGCTATCTACCGGAAACGGACGATCAACCGTCACAACATTTAGAAATCGAACCGGTACAAAGTTTTGCAATGTACGATCACAATACAAACGAGCTTATAGACATTGATGGTATTCCACTGCCAACAAGTGGTGCCACAGTTTTAACGCGATACGATAACATTACGGAGAGTGATGTTCAAACACACAATCAACAGCAAGCCTATGCAAACATCACCGACGATGACACTTTGAATGGTGGCACAGTACCATATATGAACAGTTTTGCTGAATCGTACAATTCACTATTGAATTCGAGTCTAAATGAGGATCATTCATATGTGTATAATAATGATGCGAGTGAAGACAGTGATTTTGATGATTCAAACAGCTATGATAATCCGAATACAACACATCAACTATTGGATCGATCACACGAGCCAGTTTACAGTCTGCATAAATTAAAAACGAGAAGCGAACAACAATATGATGCATTCGCTTCAACATCATCGCCACCAATGCCATCCAATGATGTATATGGCAGCTATCAACACAATTTAGTCGATCACAATTATCTTGGCGATCAGTCACAATATCCATCAACATCGGGTGATGGAGAAAGTGAGTATTTTATTGAACCGAATGTCTCAGTAGTTGATCCAAATGAACTAACCATTATTGAAAATTATTACTCAAAAGAATCAACATCAAGCATTGAAATGGCAACTGCCGAAAAAGAATGCATCGCAACAACATTGAAGGACGTCACCGAAAGCAATGAAGAATTTACAAATGAGTCGAATATTGACAAAAGCATTCAGATCAACGAAATATCATCATCGGATAGTAATAATGATTCAGTGTCAAGTCTGCCATCATTGCGATTGAGAAAGACACCAACAAATCTAAAGAAATCAAATGCCGTTATCGAACTTCCGACGCCCGAACGAAAAGTGACACGAAGAAGCCTTGCGCCATCTGTACGTGTAACACGATCTACAGGTACTGAGAAACAACAACAATCGAAAGTCACCAAAAATGTAAAAAAGGTAGCTGTCATCATTCAAAAACCGTCGGCAAGTGGTCGTTTGCATAAGGAAAATATTTCGATTCTACGCAAAGTGTCAGTTAAAGCTTTAGTGGATAGTGCAATTGTATCGCCGAGTCATCGTACACGAAACTCATCAGAGGTACCACAACAAAACCACAAAGTATTGAATCAACGAACGTTACGATCACAAAATGCGCTAACCAAAGACATTGTCAGCACCAAGACCATTCATCGTTCCAATCAAACTGCCAATGTTAATCAAATCATTCAACGGGACGTTGCGCAAACAAAAGTTTGCCCACATTCAACACGAGCAAATAGTAATATTAAAATCACCAATGTCGCGAGTAACACAAAGAATTTGACCTGCAAAAAGCAACCAAAACGTCTGTTGAACACAGATTCAGTACAAATAGTTAAATCAAGTAGTAGTAAGTTGCAAAAATCCGCAGAACTATTGGCTCAGGCCAAAAATTCACAAACATTACGTTTTAAAGTGGTGGTGGCGAAAAATTCGATGGTGGAACAAATCGGTAACACATCACGTCCGTCGATAGTAACTCGACGAATGCGATTACAACAATAACATTGATCGTATTTTCCCATTCTTTTTACTCTGTGAGCAAATCGATTAAAGTTTCTTTTTTTTTTTTCGTATTGAAATCATTTTCACATACACTCATTAAATATTGACTCATACATACGATTTTGAAGAGATCTTTTGGATATTGTAGCAACCTGTATTACTTAATATTATTTTATTTAATCGTCGAATCAATTGTAGAATATTCATTTCTTTTGTTATTTCTGTATATTTTTTTTTGGCAATTGAGTTCATTTTTTCCCTCGAACAATTTTCTCATTTTGTTATTCACATTAATTTATTGAAACTCAGACGAAATCTGCAAATATATTCCAATGTATTTAAGACTCGGCTTATTTCTAATCTTAAGTATAAATGATAATTTCGAGGTAAAACGATTCTCATTCAAAAGTAATTAGAATTTTAAGTGTCATATAAATTTAAATTAATTTCATTTTTTTGCTAACGTTAAAGGCTTTAAAGCCAATCTGAATTTTGAGTTATCAAAAAAATTATCAAAAAAAAAAACATAAAAACTGTTGATACTAACAAAAATAAAATGAGAGAAAAAAGCGAATAAATTAGTACCATGAAATGATTTACCACCACTTTAAATGTAAGCTCACAAAAGCAATTTAAACCAATGAATCCAAACAATGCCCGTTTTTTACACCAAAAAATAAGGACTTATGTACCTTTTTTTTCTTGTACAAGACACTTTCTTGTACATTGTCAAATAACCGACCACCATCAACTAAATATCATCTAAAATTGTAGTTTTAAATACCATTTGTATCAATTCTCTTATTCAATTTTTATTTTCAACAACTAGAGAACCTTTTAACTGCTGAAGAGTTAAAATAGACAAAGATTCAAATGAATTAAATATTAGTAAATTTAACGAAAAACAAAGAGAACAGATGTAATATATCCATATATTTTCTTTATACTATTAATAGATGAATTTTTGACGAAATGAACTAGACAATTGCAAAATGAATCCAAAATTCATAAATAGTTTTATAATATAAACAGTTACAATGAATGAATAAAATGATGAAAAATGAAATAAATTCTATTTGAAAAATAAAAAAATGAAAAAAAACAGATACAGTTCTATTGTTTACGAGAATAAGAAACAGACAACAATTTTTTGGGCTTTTCAAAACTTTTATTTATTTCTTTCGTTTTATTGCAAAATCGTGACCAAAATTTGCATCTAAAGAACGAATGTTGATTTGTTGGTGTTTTTTTTTCTTCTGTAATTTAGATGATGTTAATTTAATTAAATAAATTTAGGAATTTGGTTAATATGGTTTCAATGCACCAACGCGCCACCGTATGCGCCACCATAGTATCCACCTAATGGAGCTCCGTAGCCTCCATAGCCAAGACCACCCAATCCATAACCTGCAAAATGTGATAATTATGAAATAAAATTGATGACGAGTGAAAAGAAAAGAAAAATTAATATTTACCGCCCAATCCATATCCACCAGCATAGCCCAATGGTGCACCATAGCCAAGTGGGCCAATTGGAGCGTGTGCAATGGTTGAATGCGAAACAACAGCAGCTGGGGCATGAGCTGTATTTTTTATTGATATTTTTAAATTTTTGTATTTCTTAAAAAGACCGATATGCAAAATAAAGACAAACCAATGGCTGGAGCTGGCAAAGCCAATGGAGCATGGTATGCGCCGCCGTATGAGCCACCGTATGCAATTGGTGCTGCAATTGGAGCAGCATGCAATCCTAAGCCATATCCGCCTAGCGGTGCTCCATAGCCTCCAAGACCGTATCCAACACCGAGAACACCTCGTTTATCTTGTTTCTTGTCAGCATCATCGATGGCAGCGGCCGAAGCGGCAGCGACAAAGAATATTACAATGAGCTGTCGCAAGAAAATAATTTAACAAAAAATGTTTTTTTAAATAATTTCACTAAAATTTCAAAAATGCACACACACACAAACACAAAATAACAAGGTTGAGTCACAAAACACATGACATTGCTTATTATGATATAAAAAAGAGTACCACAAAATCGAACGATGCTTACGAATTTCATTTTGTTGAAGATATTTTGTTTTGTTTGTTAAGTTAAGAAAACGTATACAAAAACGAAGAAATTGCGCGACTTGACTGTAACAGCTCACAAATCAAATTGTTAACGATTCGAAGAGTTAACGTATTTATATACGATCACCCAGTATCCCGACAGCATTGCTGCGCTGCATTGGCTTTGGACATTCCATAAAGTACAGAATGAAAAAGAGAACATGCCAAGTCATTGGAGATTGCACCCTCCATCATTTTGCCGTTGCATTTGATTTCGATCTAAGTGTGTTGAATAAATGCCATAGGCAATCGTTGACTCTTTGTTAGCTTGTTTCGGCACTTTTTAATCAGCACACAGCGCACCACAAAGATGAAGAGAGAAAAAAAATCCAACGGCGACAACAACAAAACTTACCTTACGTAACAACTACATTTTCAAAGCAAATGCACATTCACACAAGCAAATACATGGGCGATCGACGAGTCATGCGTGCAGACAACAACATCATCACTGATCTGAATATGTTCAATGAGATAAAAACGATTAATTCATGCAGATATATTAAATTATAAGCCGAATGGCATAAGGTCATTAAAAAAATTTGCAAGTTTCATTCAATTTGAAACATTTTATCATCCCATTCGACACAAATTCAAGATTTTAGCTTGTTGACCCATACATAAACCTACCGGTGCAAGAAAAAAATAGTTTGATTTTTCTATGAAAATGAATCATTCAATTCTTCATATTGACGAAATTATTGCACTGACTTGAAATGCTGAAGACATAATCATGATGCATCAATAAATAAATGAGATGCTAATATAATTGATCATACAATTCAGTATAAAGTCGTGTGGTTCAATCTATCTAGAAGTATGTGTGTTTTTCGCAATGAATAATGCTCGCATAATGACCTAGGATTGATTCAAAGGCAGTTAACTGTCACACTCGCCTCCCCGAATGGTGATGTTATGTATAAAATGTGTGTTTTTTTTATTAATATATCATCGCACAAATGAATTGCGTATTTGTTAAGCGAACGAAATTCTCAATGGCCATTTTTTTGTACATTACGTAGTGCATCGAAGAAATGCACGCAACAATGTTTTGATCTAACATTTTATACGGAAAAAAATTCGTTTCGTAATAATTCGCGCGCGTGAGCTAGTTCGCTCACATTAGTCCATGTAATTGATAACTACAGACAGATAAAACCCATTATCAATTAACATAAATACAATTTGAGCGCCGTAAACTTGTTTTTTTGGTTACGCAGGTTTGCGCGCTTCTCGTTTGCAGCAGTCATTTGTTACACAAAAATATTATGAGCGTTTTAAAAAAAATGCATGCGATCCGATGTTTGTTTAGTCTGTGTCGCTTGATTCGACGTTTAGTTTCTTAGTTCGCATAATAATTAGTTGCAGTGAATTATAGGAAAGAAGCAACGACGGAAAGGTAAAGCTATTGAACTTATAAGATCATACATCATCCGGCACCGTTTTGCATAAACAATTTGGTTTTTATGAATGAACATTGATTTCTTTAATTGCTTAATTAAAAGTGCGTTTATCTCCCCTCCTGGCTCAAAGCGTTTATTGCTGATTAATCAGATATTCTTTGGATATGCGATTCGTTTGAAGTGATCGCAATCGGTCGCATTTAAATTGCTTTGCAAACATATTGCACGGCAAAGTAATTAACATATATGAATTGACAACTTTTGTGTGGGAAAATTTATGATATGTGTTCAGTTTATTTGCCATTTGAATCGAATATAGCTCCTTAACAACAGACACAATTTCACAAAAAGCTGAATCACGATAAATTCGTCGAAAACCAAATTAAAGTATGAAATACAAAATCAAAGGCAACTTTTGGCTTTGTTTTCTTATTTCCACAGAAATCGATTTAATGATATTTAAAGCGTAAGCATTCAACGCATTATGTCAGGCGATTTTTGATTTAGAGTGTGGGTAAAATCTTTTGAACTCACTTCATTTTTCAAAGAAGCAAATAACAGAAAAATAATCATATTTAGTTGAATCGATTACGTGGATCGAAAGAGGGAGAGGGAGAGAGAGTCATCATAATACACACAGCATTCCGAAATTCTAAATAAGTACGCATGATCGAAAGTCATATGTTCGGGCGATGTAAGCACAAAGTGATCATTTCAGATATTACCAATGCTGGTGTTGCCATTTTCCCTATGTACAGTCGCAAGTATTAAAAAAATGATACCGCTGATTTAACGATTATCACACAACAAAAAAACACAGAGTGACCAAAAACACTATGTGTCCCAAACGAGCGCGTACACACACAAAGAGACGTGATCGCCATGCAGCAATTCAAACAAAATAAATCATTTGATATTTTGCTCTATTAACCTAATGGTCACAAAGTGAGTGTATAATACCATGATCGTGAGCGTGCGCGTCCACATTGCATAAGTGAAAAATATGCGATTACTCTCTTTCGCTGAGTTCAATGCATGTGACGTGCGACTGCGATTTCTACAAATTTCATTTTTTTTTCAAATCATTTTAAGCGTTGACATAAATAGCCGAACAATTCCTAGCACAGATGATAACTGTTTGTGTCTAGAGTGCGCGTGTGCGCCCATTCAACAAAAGCAACTGAATTGTGCGTCTGCAGAAAGAACAAGTTATTATTCAACACTTGCACAAAACTCGATCGATCGCACAATTGCACAGACACATAAATATGCAGCACATTGGTGACCAATTTCGATTTTCTCATTCTAGTTTTGTGTACGTTTTTTAATCGATAATTAACATCAGATTTTTTTTCTCTTCTCTGTTCGCTGAAATAAATCTTGTTTGTGTTTTCAATACTCGCGTGGTCGTGTTTTTACATTGATTTGCGATTTTATTTCTCGGTCGTGTGTTTGTAGGCAAATCGAAAATGATTCATTGCATAAAACAGATCTGCGCTAGTTCCATTTTTCCTGCATGTCACCGGTATTGCATATTGCCTGTTTTCCCTGCCACAATATAATAGCATATTTTGACCCTTTTCTCCGCAAAAAAAAAATCATTTCATTTTTTTCCTATTTGGTCGCGAACTGATGAAATCGCACGGTAAATTGTATATAATTTCAATATCGTTGCTACACTAGTAATTAAAAACTGGATAAACTTTATCATTAAAAACGAACGTTGGAAGCCAAAGATTATCTCAAGAAATTCGGATTCATTCTCAAAAAAGTCTATATTTTGCTGGCAAAAAAGAAAAAGAAAACTCGTGAAAAACTGTTGTACAAAGACACTGAATGTGTTTTTTTTATGCTTCTGTCTCAATTGCTTACCGGATGTTAATCACCGCTATTGCTGCAAATCAAAGCAGATAATTGCTAGTTTACCGGCTGGTAAAAAAATAAGAACCGGCTTCGCAATTAATTGGTATCTTGTGGTATTTGAATTACAAATTGAAAGCGTTAAATTAGACTGACTGGAATTCGCGCCTCTGGTATTCTACTGAGATTCATTCAGGTTTATACGTTGTTATTTAAAAAAAAAAAAACAGAGGTGTGTTTCTAGTTAGAAGTTGGGAAAATGTCAATTCGCTGGTCATCTGTTCGAATATGATTAAAAATGAATTATATTCTACTTTTGGCTTTAGCGATTTTATGCAATTGATCAACAATTTTTGGCTCACACTTCGTGACAGTTAATTACCCTTTCGAAAGAATAGAAAATAAAATCGATTAAGATTAACGGCATGGTTTTTTTTTCTTCACTTTCTGTCATAGAGAATCTGGAGCAAAGCAATTAGATTGTTACAATATTACGTGAGATTTTTATATATTATATTTATATAAAGTAGACTGAGTTCAGTCATTGGGTTGGTGTCTGCAACCAAGGAGGAAAAAAAACGATAACCAATTAAATCATTAGAGACTTATCAGTAGTCGCTTTAGCGCTCGCAGCGAAAGTGAATTGAATTATATATAAGGGAATGAACGCAATTTATCTATTCTGAACTGAAAATGTCACTGCCGTCACTTTCACTTTTCGATTATGTTGAGGTCGGCGGTTCTCGATTCTTGCCTTGAGATTTATCTCACACTTCAACGCCATTCATTTATACCAAAACACAATGCCATATATAATATAATGCAATTATATAGTTTGAATCAGTTTTAAATTAGTTTATTATTTTAAAATAATTTTACAGAAATTGTGTGTTGCTAAATTTTACATCTTAATTTGCCGCCGCTAAAATTTATGGTTATGAGTTTGTATCTCTTTTATATTTCTTCATTATTTGCTACATTCATATAGTTCTTAAATCATTTTGCTTATGTTAACCAGATTATTGTACACTTAAAATGCAGTATCCGTCTTGTGTCGCATTCAACAACAATTAGCTTAAAGAGCATGCTGGATTTTTTCCGTCTCAATTCTCAAAATGCCCCCAAATTCCAAAGTAGATTGAAAAATGTGTGTGACGAAAAACGTTATGCTATTAAATTTTGCAAAATTCATTCATATATGCACTTCTTCGCGCTTATTTTTCTGCATTTGGATATTTTTCTTTTGGTTTTACCACTAAAATTAATTATATATAGATCTTGCAGCAATGTTCTTGTGTTATCTCATTAATTTTTGTTTTTGTTGTGAGAGAAGTGTGTGTGTATCATCTTAGTCTTACTATGTGCTATTTACAACATTCATATATTAAACTTATTCACTTCAAATATGTTGGGATGTTTTTTTTTGTGTAATGTTTGCTTTCAACTTTATTCGAATGCAATAGTTGTGTTTTTAAAATTCTTTTCTTACAAATCTAACGGCGATTTTCTAATGTGAGATATTAATTACTAGACTCTTTTGACTGGCCACTTGCCAGATTGTTTGCAAAACCCTCTATACTGAAGTCAATTTCCCATAAGATACAGACAATTTTTTTTTGCGAAAATTAAAAAAAAAATACAAAAAATACCATTGATTTCGTCTCGTTCATATTGCACATTTTGATATTAAATTCTCTAAAATGCTAGCATTTTTCAAATGTTTCTTCATTTAATGTACTAAAATACGATTGCAATTCACACAATCCATTTCTAGTTCGATGCTCATTGAAACTGGTGGTATTTAGACTTTGTTTTTGGAACTTAAATTTATTATGTAAGTCTCTTCACTGGGCATTTTTTCATTCCTCTCTTCATTAGCATACTTTTTGATTAAAAAGATTGCCGTGAACCACGAGATCAAATTAAAAATTAATTTTGCATAATTGAAATAAAAATGTGTCTATATATAAAAAGCATTCTTTTGAAATGTGTCTGTATTTTTCTTTCATTCACGTTGTGTACAGTGCTGAGATCGAAACAAAAAGAAATAATAGCGTTAGAACGAATCTTATAATTAAATCCCATTTGAAATGAAAATCGATCGTTTGCATAACTGCAAAAGCTAGAGAGAGAAAAAAGCACTAATTTAAAAGAGCGTTGGGCAATTGGTTGCGATCGATGTGTGTTTCAATCGGTGACTGTGAATATCAAAATGCCATATTAATGCCGGCGCTATGTTCACTTTTAACCGCAGCAGCTGGACTTAGATTGGCCGGCGAATGATGATGTGATAGATGATGAAATGAACGCGATTCAATGGAATTTGCTGCATTTGGCGAATCATGTGGAGAATGTGGCGATGATTGTGCGCCAGAGGTGCTGTGCAATGTATTTGCATTGCTATCACATGAATGCGGCGGCGAATGACTCAATGGATTTTGTAAACCAGCCAATGACCGTACTTGAAGCAACAGACCACTGTTGAGTAAACGGGCTTGATGCTCTTGCGCTTTGGCACGTAAGCATGCAATCGAATTATTTCTATAGAATCAAAGTGGAAAAGGGAAAAAGAAAAAGAAATCGTTAATAATTTTCAGTTTAAAAACAATTGTTCGATGTGAAATTTGTTCAAACTGATAAATGAAAATATCAAATTCGAACTTCAAGAGATAAAAACAAATAACAAAAAATATGTCGCACCGTATAAACGAAATTGGGTCTCCTACCCACCTAAACGCTTCCGTATCGCCTTCGTGATGAAAATTTGGATGCGGTGGACTAGAAAGCATCGATTTCGATTCGATTAGGTGATGAACAGGTAACGGTGTATGCTGTGAGCTCATGTTCGGTGTTGTGCTTGGCGACGATGTCACGTGTGATGTTGATGCACTCGACGATGTTGGTGTTACCGAATTATGATTGATACTCTCTGTAGCCGATGGTGTTGATGATGGCGATGCAAGCGATTCGTTGGCATGGGTTTTTTTCGTTTTTGAATTTGGTGTCGATTTCGTCGATGGATTTCCTGTGCTCGAAATATCGCTTGCTTTTGAATGTTCATCATCTCGATCACTTCCACCGCTATCATCTTTTAATGCTTCAGCAGCTTCCAATGATTTACGATGCATACCTGTTTTTTTATATATGCAATGAAAAAAAAAGAGAAAGAAACAAAAATAAAAATGAAATATTTTCAATTAAATATTTTCATTCACCAAATTATTATAACCTATTATATATTAAACGAAACTACAGCGATAAATTAATATTAACAAAATTCAATTAAAATAATACAATGGCAACCGTAATAAACAGCTATTACCGTAATTCGATCCTTCGTATTTTTTTTTAATGAAATAATATGAAAATAAATCCATCAAATGAATTCAATTCAATTTCAATATAGATCACGGATTTTATATCGCTTGTTAAATTCAATAAAACCAGGGAAATAACTTTAACATAATATTGATAAATTGTTGACTATAAATAAAAATGGACAATGAAGTGGTCGTGAGCCGAATGAGGTCTTTTGTGCGTGAGATGTTGATGGTCTCGTATCTGTACTTGTGTATATGTTGTACATATGCACGACAGATAGCCCACCCCTCGCATCAAAATTACCCTTCATAATCGGATTTTAATTCACTATACGCGCTTCTGTTCAAATGCCTTTTAAGATTCAAATGAAATGCTTTTGAAAACACACCGAAATGTATATAAATGAACATAAAATCAAATTAAAAACGACTTTACAACATCGAATAGAATGCGGCTGGTAGACAATGAAACCAACCAAAAAAACGATAAAATTTGCAAAAGGAGCATTTTAATAAAAATAAAGTGGTTTCCAACTAAAAACTAAACTAAACTAAAAATTAAGAAGAGTAAATGGAACACAATTTGTACTTTTGGAGCTCATACCCAGGAGCCACGGCGCCACTTGTGATCCATCTGATGATTCTTTAGCCGACTTCAATATAGTATCAGGTAATGGCAAAGAATGTCGAACCATTGCACCGTATAAACCATACTCTGCCATTATGGTGCTCCGACCCCAGCATTTCTCGGTTTTACGCCATTTAGCACGTCGATTTTGGAACCACACCTGCAATGAAAATCCGAAAAAAACGAAACAAAATCAAAGAAAGAAATCGTTAGTAAAATGGCATTCAAAGGTTTTTTTGTTTACTTTGAAATATGTGCTAACTAGACCAAAATCCGTGATCAAACAATGCAATAACAACAAAAACCCGAAGAAATTGGACCCGTTCAACACGGCAAACAGTAGCATTAAAAAAAGACAACAAGATAAAAAGCGAAGAAAACGCCATTGATGCACGTGCTTGAACGCTGGCCAATTATTCTGTGGTATTTTCATTCATTGCACCAGCACGAACTTATCCACTACATTTAATTTCAATATATCCGATGAAAGAAATTCACTCATAAAAAAAAATCATGTAAAAATGTGTAATTATATTTGCAACTAAACGAATCATTGAACAAAAACTGATATTTCCAGTTCACGGTGCTTGTGCATTGCATTTTTCATGCAATTTTCGGCTGTTTTTCATCTCAAATAAATAATAATACACTGAAGTGAACACAATCAATAAAAAAAAATAAACAAACTAAATAAACAAAGTGCTAGAAAATCTCCCATTTCACGCGATTCATCATCATTAAACCAATGTACTTCATTTGGGAAAATCACTTGCAGTGTTATTGTTATTGTTGTTCATCTTCGTTCATAAATCAGTTTTACTGAACAACGAGGTATTATTTACAAGTTACTCATATATTTTTTAATAGTGCACGGCGTCATTGCAATGAAAAACATTGAGGCGGAAAACTGCCACTGGGTGATAGGATCACACGCAATTCCTGTGAACGAGCAACGAGCAGTAGCATCTCATCATGAAAAAAAAGAACGATGAATGTTAGTTTGGGTATTGTTCGCCGTTTGCTCTCTATTAGCAAACAGTTCATGGGTATCGGAAGAGAGATTCTGTTCGAAAAATAGGGTAATTTTATACTAATTATTTGTTGGCTTGATTTTCTCTCTCTCTCTCTCTCACTCGCTTACTCAAAATAATATATAAATTTGCCAAAACAGCACAAACTGTTACATTGCCTTTGGGTATTTATTACACGCAACTATGAATAAATAATGTGAGAACGAGTTCAAGTCGGATAAGTCAGACACACACACACAATGGTCTTGTGGTTGCCTAATCTCTCTTTGGCTGGTACTTTTGCACGTCAAATGTTTGCATGTAATTGATATCATTATAGGATGATGATCCATATATTTTTTTGTAACTATACAACACTTAACAACACGGGCCAAATAGCTTTTAAAGTAGCAACAAACATTCTGAATAAAAACATCTACGACAAGAGTATATTCTGTTCTTTTTTTTAAAGATAAAGATATTTTCGTTGTATGAAATTTAAGTACATTTTGCATCTCATCATGCTTTTGTGTTCATTAAAAAGCCATTTTGTTAATTGTTTAATTTTCCATCTTTTTTTGGCAGGTGTACTTTGTTCGTATCATCGTAAATCAACACATACTTTTTTCATTTTGATGAGCGAGGGAAAGCTGAAAACCGAAACCACTTCAATCGAACACATTTCATATCTAAAATTATGTGATATGCGCCGTTCTTATGACTACATCGTTTCCTTTGAAATAGAACAAAAAAAAAGAGTACAACAAGGAAATTCGATATGAGTTCAAATTAAACACTCTCAGTTTCTATTTTAGTGTTTGCTGACTTTCGGAGAAGGCGCTCAGTACTTTTTTGTTTCTTTTCGATTGTCAGGATGTCTTTGTGTATGCACAGAATAAAGAAAGAAAACTCAATCAAAAATGACTGTTCGAAATGAATTCTGCGAAGCAGATACTTGAAAAAACGATGATTTTGAAAATTGGTGATCTGTGTGAAGGAAACGAAAGAGAGCATTGAATTCAAAGTTCAGGAAAAATGATTATTTGTCAGAACGAATGATGGGTAACATATTGTGACTTTGGAAAAAGATACAAAATTGTGCCATCCTTTTTCTTTTGCCTTTTTTAAACGTCTACTTAACGCCGCATATGATGAGGCCATTAATGATTCAATTAGTTTTTCACCAGAATTCACATGCATGGGAATCTTTTTATGGAGTGATGACATACGGCACGGAATATGTGCTGTCATTTCATTTCATTTATAACTAACAAGTTTTAATTTTCCAAATAAAAAAAAAGACGAATAGATTGACCTGTACATTATGAGTATACTTGAAATGCGATCATTCGTATTTTCAATTAACATCGTTTCAATTCATATTTTGTGAGGTATTTATTTTTATATCAAATCATATTTGGATTAAAAAAAATTAACTGGAAATCATATCTCTTTATTTCCCTTGCATCGATAATAGCGTCAATTCCATACCATTAATCAAAGTAACAACAAAAAAAATAGTTTTTGTTCAATTTAATTGAATATTCGGCGATGAATGAATTTGCATTGCGCACAAATCGAGGAAAAATCATTTGGCATTTTATTCAGTTTCAAGTCCCTTGTGCACCGCATTGGAAAATATGATTTAATTACATTTGCTACATTTGTTTAACTACGAGAGTTGAGACTGGCCAATGTACGTTCAGTCGCTGGAATGAAATAAAATAACGTATATCAAATCAACAACGTGTTGGGTTTTTCGAAAACACAGCCGAATTACTCATTTCAACAATATAACAAAAAAAATGTTTTTTCTCTATTCAATGTACACCAGTGTGGTTTGCATTTCGCATACACAAAAGCAACATGAATTAAAACCTTATTTGAATATAAAAAAACTCTTGTTCACCAAATGCAATCGCACGATTTAAATCGATCATAATTTTTTTTACGATTTTGCTTTTTTATGACTTGCATATTAGTTAGTCAATGGTTTCTATTTGAACGGGTGATTTTTTTTGTGCACAGATTAAAAAAAAGTGTTTCACTTTAAATAGTTCGTTTTTGTTTCTGTCATTGTCATTCAATTCAAGTGGTTTCGAATATAAAAACAAATACAAAACATAGATTTCTAATCGTAAACCTGGTAAAATGTCAATTTAAATATTATTTATGATGTGTGCGACTTAATTTAAACAATGTTTTGATTTTATCGTCAAGTTTTACAACTTGAAATTGACATTTTGACTTGTAAATACGTGGATCGATTGAAACCAGTTTCAATTCAACAACTGATCACCGTTAAACTGATTTCGTTGCAATGCATTCGCGTGACTTTTCTTCGATTCGGTGTGAAAATATGTTGTTAGCAAAAAAACATCACCGGATACGGTACCATTCATTCTGAAGCAATCGATTGAATTTATCGATATGTCAAAAATATGCAATGCTGTCTACAGAGCCGACGAAAATGTAATATGAACGTTTAACTGCCACTTACGATTGAACTATGAATAGAATTATTCAATTAAGTTTAATCCGTAAAGCCGAAACCAGTTCATTATTAGGTGGAAATGTCTATAATGTCTGAGTGTGTTGTCTCCGGTGTTGGCAATTCATTTGGTGCAAAATAGTCGAATATATTGAAGATAAATAGGCATTAAAATTCTAAAGCATGACTCATAAATACGCAAACGGTATAAATGAAACGAAGCAATTTTCGGAGGGGCCGACTTGATATTAATTCCAGTTCAATATTTTTCATTTTGTCGCATCGTTTTCATTTCACTCTTTGTGATGAATTGTGAGCGCCTTTCTTATTGTAATGAAAAACACACAAAAAGTCAATATAGTTGAATGCGATTGTCGTCCTTAATCCAGATATTTAGCAACGCGATTTTCTTTCGAAGGCAATAAAGCGAACAAATTAACCTCGACCGACCAGAGGGTATGCAATGAATATAATATCGAACAAAGGCATCACCATTTTATAATTCTTTTTTTTATTTTTGTGCTCGAACCAATGAACGTCTTTATGTTTTGGCTACGACCGAATTGACACCACTGGCTCGACTCGGCTCGTATTATTGTATTATTATCCACTTATACAATAAATTGTAAAAATATTTCTCGACGTAAGACGATTGAAATTCCAGTGTGAACGTGCATTTTTCGGATCCCTCATAATTAACTTATCCGTCGCATCCAAAGAGCTGACAAGTGGAGGAGTGACGAGTTTATTGGTGTTTTTTAAACGCATTCTTTCATTCAGATGTGTTTTGCAGCCTTATCTTTAGCATTTATTTTGTAATAGAAAAATCGTTATTGATTTGTCAACTGATTAAGCACCAGCAGACACAGAAATTGTTTATTATTGATTAGTTATTTGGGTTTATTAATTAATAAATGCATTCGTATGATTAATATGGCGCCGATGATTTCAACGACCTTTCAAATGAATTATTTCACGTTTTTGTGGTCAAAACGCCGTATTGTCTGTAATTCTTCAGAAAATTTCGTGCATGATTTTTCTCGGTCATATTTCTCTTGGAATTCATAAAAACTACCAATCATCAAATTCAAAGGGGCAAATAAGGATTGAGACTCTTATTGAGATTTACTTACGCAGATGATTAAGTGAGATTTGGTCATACAAAAGACATGCCGACGCTCAACGTATGATCAACAAACTAAACTGGTAATTATTAAATTACATGGCATTTATTTATTTAGATGTTGAGCGTAAAAGAAAAAAAAATCGATGGTGGTCTTTCCAAATTGCATTGCGCACAACGATGTTGGTCTTACTCATTAGCAAACCAAATCAAGTGTTTCGTACCAAGAAAACTCACTCAAATCAAAAAAGAATTTATTACCTATTTATAGCACTAATAAGATGCTGCGGCTTGAAATCCAAATGAAATTGAAAAGAAAGCTTGGAATTTAATGTAAATGCATTTCATTCCGTAAGAAATGAAAGATGCAAAAAAAAAACACGAAACACAAAAAAGGAATGAGCGTGAGCCACTTCACAAAATAGTCAGTTCAAGTGTTTATCCAGAAAAGTGTCGATACATTCATTATCTAGTCATTCGTACAATGAAAGAATCGTGATGCATTCAAAGAATTAACCGAAAGAGGTTCGAAACCC